CCATCTTACTGGTAAAGCCCCCTCCCCCTCTAATATCAGGTTCTTTAGCATCAACTGAACCCTGGCACTGAGAGGACCTTGGGGTGTGTCCCTGTAAGCATATCCCAGCCACCCAAAACTGGACCACAGGCAACTGTCATATTACTGACCACAGTGGTGAGCCCAGGACCTGTTGTGTTGTCTTGCTGGACCAAAATATCCATGAGGGCCAAAGAGATAGAGAAAAATTCCTTTCTGTTTATTTTGTTTGACCTCATGCCTCCCTCCCTCCTTCCCTGGATATTTAAACCACCAGTTTGGCCTCTGCTGTTGAAATTTGAAGGGAAATCCAAGAATGTAATGAACTAGAGGCCTGACCCTGTCATAGAGCCTTACACACACTCAAGGTGGGTGTGACCTATTTCCAGTTCTAGAAGGAGGGGCCACACAGTGCCAGGTTTCTCAGTTATTGTGGCTAAACCATGAGGTCAAACGAAGGTCAGCTGCTCCCTTGCATCTGATGCACTATCCCCAGGACAAGACAGCCCTCTCTAGGCCTGAACCTAGACCTCAGTGGCAGAGGGCACTGCTCACAACAACTATGTCTCCACAGGGATCACATCGAAATCGGGCTCCACCCCCATCCTTAAGTGCCCCACACAGTTCCCGCTCATCCTGTGGCATCCTTATGCCCGTCACTATTATTTCTGCATGATGACAGAAGCTGAGCAGGACAAGTGGCAGGCGGTGCTTCAGGATTGCGTCAGACACTGCAACAATGGTGAGATGCCAGCAGGCTTCACACTTTCTAATGTGCTGAAGGGCGACACCCAGTGGTTGTGTGTGGCATGGCAACCCTGCTCTACGATCTGCTTTCTGAGGTTGTGAGGAACTTTTTTTTTTAAGGTTTTATTTATTATGTATACAGTTATCTGCATGCATGCTTGCACACCAGAAGAGGGCACCAGATCTCATTACAGATGGTTGTGACCCACCATGCGGTTGCTGGGAATTCAACTCAGGACCTCTGGAAGAGCAGTCAGCGCTCTTAACCACTGAGCCATCTCTCCAGCCCCTGAGGAACTTTTGATTAGCACTCTTAATCTTTCTCCTCGATGAAAATACTTCTGTGTTGCCAAGGCAACATTAGAAGATTATTCTACAAAGACTGTGCTTGTAGAGTCCTGGGCCCCCAGTCCCAATATCTCTTGATTTTGCCACTTTCTAGCAAGTGGAGACTTTGTAGTTATTAATGTTGCTGCTGTAACAAACATATCCAAAAAAGGTAACTTAAAAGGAAAAAAGGTTACTTTGTCTCGCATTTCAAGGCTGCTTGTAGTCTACCATGGCAGGGAGGTGGCAGGAGTGTGGCAGCAGGTCACACTGTATCTGGAATCAGGAAGCAGAGAGCAATGGAGGCTGCTGTCAGCCCCTTTCTCCCTTTTAATTCAGTCTGGTACCCCGCCCATGGAGCGCCACCTGGATTTAGGGGGAATCTTCCACCTCAGTTAGTACAATCTAGAAACTTCCTTGAAGACATGCCCAGAGGTTTGTTTCCATAGTGATTCAAAGTTGACAATCAAGATTAACTCTCATGGAGACTGACTTCCCTCTTGAGTTCTGTGTAAAATGGTGATAGGATCCCTTGTGTATTTGAGGGTACTGTGGAGATTCATAGCATGAGTCTACTTTGTGCTTGGTCAGGATCTTTCTTATAGCTGGGTATAATGGTTTTTGGAGGTTCCCTGTGAAATCAAGGCCAGCCCGGGCTACATAGTGATTCTAGGATAGCCTGGGCTACAACGAGATTCTGTCATACCACACACCAAAGTATTTTCTTTTCTTTTCTTTTCTTTCTTTTTTTTTTTTTTTTTTTTTTTTTGGTTTTTCAAGACAGGGTTTCTCTGTGGCTTTGGAGGCTGTCCTGGAACTAGCTCTTGTAGACCAGGCTGGTCTCGAACTCAGAGAGATCCGCCTGCCTCTGCCTCCCGAGTGCTGGGACTAAAGGCGTGCGCCACCACTGCCGGCCACCAAAGTATTCCTTATAATTTCCTTCTTTACATATGGTAATCTATAAAGGTTCCTCCCTCCCTCTGTCCGTCCCTCTCTCCCTCCTTCCCTCATTTTTAAACTCACTGTTTGACTCTTGCGCTTATGTGTTCAACAAACACTTATGGCATCTATTCTGAGCTTATAGAAAGGAGCGAGGCATGGGCCCTGCATGCCTACAACCAGCTGTGTGATGAAGAGACAGA